TTTTGTTTTCATTTGTAGTGAGTCCTTTGCCATTACTTTGCTTATGGACACTTGGCTTCTGTCACTTTTGGGGGCCTTGCTCAATTGAGCCTGGGTGTTTTGTCTTTAGATAAGAACATCTGGTTCTGGATTTCTCTTTCCATGCCAGAGTTTACTTCTGTCATATCTGAGACTTCCACAGGAATCCATGCCCTGCAAGTGATGGGGAGAAGTGTCTGTAAAATGGGTTTGAGATTAATTCATATCAGTGTTTCTTCTTTCTTATTTTTTTGATGTTTCCAGTAGGAGACTTAACCCAGTAATCCGAAGTGCCTTTGTATCAGTTGCATAAGCAGACAGCTCTCAGATCGGTTGGTTGATGGATGCTGTAGTAGCTGTTGAATTTAATATACCTTATAGACAATATGTCACCAGTTCTGGATAGTTTCTGCGTTGAGGAAGAACCGCTTTACATAGAAGCTAAAGCTAAGTCTCACGGGGTGGATTGTATTACAAAAGCTTGTTTGTTTTTCTGTTACCAAGGACAGATTTGGTTGTTTGTAATGTGAAGCTAATCCTGAATTGTTCTATTTGAATTTATCAGCTTTAGCAGCTTTAATATTGTAAGACTGGCATATTATGTTTCATCACAACATTTTTAAAACTTCCATATGTGTAACTGGATTTTAGAGGTGTTTGTTTTATATTTTATCCTTGCGCCATGTATGGTTTCTGGATTAAGCATGTAATAGTGTGCTTTGGAACTATATGTTTATGAAATTGTTCTTTGTGTTTCATGAATGATAAAAATGCAGATAACACTTAAACTTGGCTACTTTCAATCTCTGTTAGTGACTGTAAACTTAGAGTAATATCAAGAAAAAAGTTTAGGACACTAATTATTTTGGGGGGATCTTCCTTTCTGGCTGTACCTCTGCAGCATAATCATTAAGTTGCTAAGTTGCAGCCTCCCATTAGAGAGCAGCGAAAGATAGACTCCTAAGTTTTCTGTGAACGCTTATACAAGCCCTTTCTGTCATCTAGTTGACATTTGACTTTTGATGAGTCACTCCTCTCAAACTTAATGTCCAAGCTGATCTAATATATTTTTTAAAACTCACACAGCCTAGTTTGTGATTATTTGGAGAAAAGGGAACTCAAATCTTGAAGATCCTTAGTGCCTTTTATATTTGAAATATTAGTATATTAATGCTACATGTAAAGGTTTGGGCAACACATTCACACTATTAACTAATGTTTGTTTAAATATGCTTATAGGTCAAGATGTGTAAAAATAATGGAGATAATTCTCATGAGAGAAATACCAAGGATGAATGTTTAGTTCTAAACCAGTGAATGCAATTAAAGCTTTTTGTACAGGGAAGTAAGCTTGTTTGGAAGCGGGATGTTTACAAATGGAACCACTTGTAACCTGAACCACTTGTAACCTGTGGGGCTTTGTGGGCTTTTTTGATGATTAATTGCAGCCATCTGCAGGACATTAATAATATGAGCTGAAAAAGGTGAAGATTTAGTGTCATCGTTCTGTGAGAGTCATAAAAATTGAGGCAGTAACAGACAGGAATGAAATAAACTTTCAGTAGTATAAGATAGTTAGGAAATATGCGAGGAAAGCAAAAAAAAAAATAATAAAAATGCCCTTGATGGGTTTTAGCACTTCTAAAAGCTGACAGAACATACTACCTAACTACAAAAGCAATGTTTCTCCAGGAAGGCTAATACAGAAGTAGACAGTTACCCGTTTTAGACTTGTGGAGACAGAGAAGAAGAGGGTAGGTTAAAAGACTTGTTGACAGTGCTATACAGCCAGCCAAAAGCTGTTACTGGGAATTTTAAAAATGACAAATTAACATAAAAGTTCTCAACACAATATTACCTCATTTTGGATCCCATATCTGCCTGATTAACTGGACTGCTGTTCTCTGCTGTGACTTAAGTTACTTTCCAACTGCTTTCAGGTCGAATTGGTTTTGCTAATAGTATGTACACCACGTGCTTGGAAAAGGTACAGTTTTGCAAAGCTGAGTTCCCCAAAGTTGGCCTTAATAGATCTTCACCACTGAAGACAGTTTTGATTAAATCTCAGGATGGTAAATAAGGTTCCACGCTGGAAGAAAGTGAATGTCACTTTTCAAAATGGACAAGCTGAACGCTTGGAAGAACTGAGCACTGACAGCTGATCTTCCACACTCCTGTCCAAAAGAGTAATGAAAAAAGTTTGGTACAAGATACTCTAATAAGAAGCAAATCTCTTTCTTTAAACAATCAAAGTGGTTTTGTGCTACGTAGGTGTAGTAAAACATTTAAACAAAAGATTTAATTTAGGGAGGTGAGATATTTTTAAAAATAACTACACAGTTATCAATAAAGCAATTTGAAACAAATATCTGATTTACACATTTCAAATACAGATACAAATGAGGAATGAAAAAAAATATCTGGGAAGGTTTTGTAAGGATTATTTATATTGAACATTTGTAAAAATGATCTGGGAACAATTAAAACTTGTAGTTGGCACATAGTAGTCAGGAAAAAAAAAAAAAAAAGGTAGTACAAGCTCTTTGATAAGCTGGATTCATTCACCCAAAATCCATCCTTGTACAGAGGAATGAATAGGAGTGCGAAGGGATACAAACCATGTGGTGGTAGCACGGGGGCCCTGCTGAGCAGCCTCACCCCAACACCTCACCACAAAATGGCCTGGCCCCTGCTGCTGCTAGGTGATGAGAAACAGCCAAGGCAACCCAGCTGATGGATTCTCAAGAGTCAGTAGGAAAATAAATAAATTGCTATATGAGGTGATTATTTTTGTTTCTTGCAGGAGGCTATGCAGCGTTTATTTATTTATTTATTTTCTCCTCTGTTAGAAATGCATTATCTATATCCATGGAGGTGCTGTGGCAGAGTATCTCCTGAGGAGCGTTGGCTGCTCTTCAGGTTGGGATGCTCTCTGGTTATGCGCACTGCAAGGAAATTCAATCAACAAAGTGTAAATTCCCGGTAGACTGGAAGCTGGCAAATGTTGTGCCGATTTTCAAGAAGGGTCAGAAAGAAGACCCTAGCAATTACAGGCCTGTCAGTCTCACATCAGTGCCTGGTAAAATCATGGAGAAGATGGTTCTCGAACGTATTGAGGCGCACCTGGGGGACAATGCAGTCATTGGTCCCAGCCAGCATGGGTTTGTGAAGGGTAGGTCCTGCCTAACTAACCTGATTTCCTTTTATGATAAGATCACCCGTATGGTGGACCAAGGGAAACCAGCTGATGTGATTTTTTTGGACTTCAGCAAGGCTTTTGACACGGTTTCCCATAGGATCCTACTGGACAAAATGTCCAGCATACAGCTAAATAAAAACATCATACGATGGGTGAGCAATTGGCTAACGGGCAGGGCCCAAAGGGTTATGGTAAATGGGGCTGCGTCAGGCTGGCGGGCGGTCACCAGTGGGGTCCCTCAAGGCTCCATTTTAGGGCCGGTACTTTTCAATATTTTTATAAATGATCTGGATGTAGGAATAGAAGGCATTTTGAGCAAGTTTGCTGATGACACCAAACTTGGAGGAGTTGTGGACTCGAATGAGGGTGGAAAGGCCTTGCAGAGGGATCTGGATAGGTTGGAGAGCTGGGCGATCGCCAACCGCATGAAGTTCAATAAGAGCAAGTGCCGGGTCCTGCACCTGGGACGGGGAAACCCTGGCTGCACGTACAGACTGGGCGATGAGACGCTGGAGAGCAGCCTTGAAGAGAGGGATCTGGGGGTCGTGGTAGACAGCAAGTTCAATATGAGCCGGCAGTGTGCCCTGGCAGCCAGGAGGGCCAACCGTATCCTGGGGTGCATCAAGCACGGCATCGCTAGTAGGTCGAGGGAGGTGATTGTCCCGCTCTACTCTGCGCTGGTGCGGCCTCACCTCGAGTACTGTGTGCAGTTCTGGGCACCACAGTATAAAAAGGACATGAAACTGTTGGAGAGTGTCCAGAGGAGGGCTACGAAGATGGTGAAAGGCCTGGAGGGGAAGATGTACGAGGAACGGCTGAGGGCACTGGGCCTGTTCAGCCTGGAGAAGAGGAGGCTGAGGGGAGACCTCATCGCAGTCTACAACTTCCTCGTAAGGGGGTGTCGAGAGGCAGGAGACCTTTTCTCCATTAACACCAGTGACAGGACCCGCGGGAACGGAGTTAAGCTGAGGCAGGGGAAGTTTAGGCTGGACATCAGGAAGGGGTTCTTCACAGAGAGAGTGGTTGCACACTGGAACAGGCTCCCCAGGGAAGTGGTCACTGCACCGAGCCTGACTGAATTTAAGAAGAGATTGGACTGTGCACTTAGTCACATGGTCTGAACTTGGGTAGACCTGTGCGGTGTCAAGAGTTGGACTTGATGATCCTTAAGGGTCCCTTCCAACTCCGGATATTCTATGATTCTATGATTCTAAATACAGCAAAGGGAAGTTGCAACCAAAAGGGCATCAATTCAGGGTAATCTGACTTAATTCTGCAACACGTCTCCAAGTGAAGGAGTCAGGAACAACCTGTCTCCTCAGGGCTCTTGTATTCGTTAAAAATTTGATGCCTCTGCTTCCTCAGCAGTTACACCCATGCTCGCTTGTACTGCCTTTAATTTCCACAAAACGTGTCATATCATCATTGTACTGTTATTGTGCCAGAGCCAACGATACACATCGTCTGGCAAAGATCCGACATCGCTCTGCTCAGCCTTCTACCTCTGACTTTGCCTTAAAAAACGGCAGCGCTGCCTCCACACCCGCGCGTCCCCGCCCCTCCCCGCCCCACCCCAGCCACCCCTGAGACGAGGCGCGGCGCTGGCGTTGCGCATGCGCCGGCCGCCCCCGCTCTCGGCCCTTTCCGCCCCGGGCCCGCTGCGCGCACCGCGAGGCTCCGCCCCCCGAGCCCCGGCCCCGCCCCTCCCTGGCGGCGCCGCAGCGAGGCGGCCATTTTGTGGCGCTGCGCGGTCGGTGGCGCTGGGCTCGGCGCGCAGCGGGGCCCGGGGGCGGTTTGGCTCCGCTCTCCGCCTTTGTCCCGTGCAGAGCCCTCGGTAAGAGCGCGGCGGCGCCCGGGCGGGCCGGGCCCGCGCCTCCCGCCCGCCCCGCGTTGCGCTGCGCTGCGGGCCCGCGGCGTGGCGAGGCGAGGCGAGGCGAGGGGAGGGAGGCCGGGCGCGGCGCGGCTGGCACGCGGCCCCGCGCACAAAGGGCCGGGCCGGGCCGGGGGCGCCGAGCGGGCGCCGAGCGGGCGCCGCTGCCGCCTGGCCGGGGCCGGGGGGCCCGGGCCGCGCCCCCGCCGCCCCCGCTCCCTGTCCTCTCCTCTCCCCTCGCCTCCGCCCGCGGCCCAGGTGAGTAGGAGCGCGCCGAGCGCCGGCGCCGCGGGGCCCGGCCGTTGGGGGCGGCCGAGTGACCTTGCGGCGGCGCCGGGGCCGCGGGGCCCGGGAGAGAGGCGCCGAACGGGCCCGGGGGAGCGGCGGGGCCGGGGCCCGGCGGGGGCTGCGGCGGGAGGTGCGCGGCCGGGGAGGGGCCGGCGGCGGAGCCCGGCCCCGGCGGCCTCAGGAAGCGGCGCGGGGCCGCTCCCGGCGGGGCTCTGCGGGGTGGGGGGCGGCTCCGCGCCCGGCCCCGGGGGCGAAGCGGGGCGAGCGCTCTGTGTGGTGCGGGGCAGGAGGTCCCCGGTGCTTGCGGCGCTGCCACCGCGCCTCGGGGTTACCTTGTGAGCGTTAGGGAGGCTGCCGCACAGCGCTTTCAGTCTGTTTTCCAGCAATGAAAATCAGCTCTGGGGGAAGAAGTGTGCTGGAGTGGGTCCCCCTGCCTAGTGTCTCTGAGCTGTCTCAAAAAGTCTCTCGGCTCTTGTTTTACCAGTCGTTCCTGGACTTATACATTTTTCTTAGCGACTTTCTTACCCCCTCGATGTGCTGGGTTAAGGCAGGAATATGGACAGGGTGCACGCCTTCAAAGGTTCCTTCGCCAGGGGTTCTGTGTTCACTGGAGGGCGGATATCCATGCACAGCCGGTGACAGCATGTTGTGGTGACCCTCTCCCGTGAAGTCGCAGAGGTGTGGTGTTGAACCACCTGTGCTCTGGTCGATGTTTGCTTTGTTAACATGCTCTTACGTGTCAGGTTGACTGGAAGGGATGTCTTAATGAGAGCAATGAGTGTTCTTTGAGAGAATTCAGTTATGAACAAAAATAGATGATGCTTGCTGGAAAGCTTAAATATACAGCAGAGCTTTATACCTTTTCTGAAGAAAACCAACCGCTTGGTTTGGTTTGTGTTGTGTTTCACATTGTAGTGTGTTGTCTTAGTCCTCTACAAATCCTCAGCTTGTTGTCAAAGGGAACACCTGCAATGTTGTGGTTGATTGATTGGAAGTATCTTAAACGACTTTTTTATTTGAAAAGTTCCTTGCGCATGAAAGATTTATCTGCTTCTTGAAAAGCAGATAAGCTTTTGCACAAAACTGTTTTTGAGGTTGTTACATTTTTTTCTTACCTGTGTTGTAAACTACTGTTTAAAACTGCTAGAAATGAAAGTATATAGTTGAATACATAGTTGAATCCTCTAATATGGGATTGCCTGCTTTTCGTAAAGGTATAATAAAAAGTCTTATTTTCGTAAATACATTTGCCATTTTAATGAGTCTGGAGAGCATAGTTTTGTCGTCTCATTTGTGAGCCTGCTGTTAAATGTCCTTGAAGATCTGTGAATATCTGCACTTGTTTTAATTCCCTCTGTTAAGGAGTTTGTGGATGGTTTAGTAGTAATTCTGTCCGTAACTTTGCTCTGATAAGGATGCTTATAACTGAAAACTGATTGTTTGGGTTTTGTGAGAAGGAGGCAGTTAGTTTTTAGCATGTTTCTTTTCTGGGTAGCATTCCACAGAAGGAAAACTTCAGCATGAGGTGGTCTGCTAAGCAATGAAAGAGTAAGAGGTTTTCCGTCCCTTCTTTTAAATGCAAAATGTGTATGTTGCTACTTAAACTGTTTAGCTTTTTTTTTTTTTTTTTGCGAGTTGTAATCCTAGGAAGACGCTTTGTACTTTCAAAGATGGAAAAAAAAAATGTTAATTTCATCAGGGTTTGGATTATAAAGTGGCAGATTACAAAGTGTGGTATCTCTCAGGGAGTTCTTACCGTGTGCTCTGTTGAGGTGACTTGCCTAGAGGTGTCTGTGAGGTGTTGCTTATTTTCACCAGTTTGTGTGACTCTTGAAGAGTTCTTCGCATGCAGCTGTAGGGAGACTTTCTGAGTTATGGGTTTTCTTCCTTTTTTCAAGTTAGAAAATGCACCTTGGAGAAAGAAATATTGATGGAGCAACAGCTTGTTAAAATTCAGAATTTAAGTCTTTGCTTCTTAACCTTTGCCTTTGAAAGAGTGACTTGTTCATCTGTTAGGAATGGGAAAATTTGAAAGATTCTTTGAATGTTTGCTGGTTCTTCCTATATTCTTTGAAGAAGGCATGTACTTGTGTCATTAACTATATAGCCACTGCAATGCAGTTACCAAAAAGTGATACAGGGATAAGGTATTAGAAAATGCACTCTTACTCTTGTGTCTGTTCTATGTCACAGTGCCTTGTGGTGGTCACAGGTTTGAACTTTCTGTATATACAGTTCTTTGTGGACTGTTACTGCTGTTGTGTTGCCTGCATTGATTTTTGCCTCCATTTATTCTTTATTGCAGTCTAAAAGTTGGTTTTAATTGGTTGCCCACAGGATTGGCTTGGCTTCTGCTACTTGTTAAGAAAAAAACATCTGTCTTTGCAGGTAAGAGACTTTGAATTGAAGACTTCTTTTTATGCTTATTGAGTATATCTTAAGAAATAATTGAAGCTTTTGGAATCTGTGAATCGGTATCAAAACATTTGGGTCAAATTATCTGTAGCTGGTCTTATTCCTTTGACTCCCACTGGTGATGGTTGTTCTGGCAGTGTGGTTCTTGTAAAATAGAATTTTCTGCCAAACTGATGTTTTGTTGTTTCATCAGCATGTGGTAGTCTGTAACATTCTCTCAAGTTATTCTGCACTGTTTGAAAATGTAGCTGTTGGAGTGCAGAAGCTAATTCAGAAGGTTCTATTTTGCTTTTGCAGTATTTAAAGGGATCAGATAGTTATCTGTCAGCTAATTCGAATTATGCTAATCTAATGGGTTAATTTTAGCATTAAAAAAATAAATCTAAAAAACAAATAAAAGCTGTACTCTGCAGTCTTAGGTATTGCTACGTAGTCCCAGCCTGGGTATTTCAAATTCTTGCTACAGCAGCAGTGTTACTCCAGTTCTTAGCCTTCATCCAGGAACTGCCAGGTACGCTGTGTATGTACCATGTAGGCATTGTACTTCACAGGGAGTAAGTTGAATCTTCTTAGTCCTGAATTGAAAAAATACATGCATCTGCCTTTACATGCATCAGCCTTTACATGCATAAAGGCTAGTCCGGTGTTGTTTTACCAACTGATGTATGTGACCCAACATTTCTGTTTGTTTTACTGACTAGTGCCTGGGGGAAGAAACCATCTTGTATACACCCTTTCATAGTGTAACATCCACATCTTAAAAGATGGTGCTGTTAAGATTGATCAGATGACTTGGATTAATTCTAGTCAGCTCCTTTTAATTTCTGACCTCAAGTTGTTAATGGGGATGGCTTGTCCATAGTAGAACTTGAGGATCTAGTCTCCAAGATCTACAAAACAACAACAAAAAAAGGCGTTTGCCTTAAAGCATCTGTTTATACAGGAGGGAAAGCAGGCAGCCTGAGAATTGCTCTTATAGCCCAAGAAACTGCCTTCAGTGCATACCTTAGAGGCGCTAACAGCCCGTTCCTGCCTGGTGTTGCCTCTGCACGTATATTTGTCTTTAACAAGTGACCAGTGAAATACTTGACAGGACTTTGCTTTTAGTGTTAGTTTGAAAATTAGAGCGAGTGACTTATTGTCTCCTAAGTGCATTTTGAAATAAATCTGACTTGTATGTAAAAATGTGAAATTTGGCCCTTTTGTTATTATTCTGATGTTTAGTATTTAAAACACAGAAGCAAAACTATTGCTTTTTTAAAGCAGTGAAATCCTGATAACTCAAAACCTAGCTGCTGCAAAACTTAAAGTATATATTTTTTGACAAAAATATATTACAACTTTTATGCCATGTCCCTGTTAGCTCTTGTTTAATATTGAGTGCTTGTTTAATGTCATGCATGGCATTAGTTACTCAGAGATCACTGCAGCTAGTTTTCCCAGTGACTGTATGCCTCTGTCACTGTGTTCTCTTGTCAGTAGTGATTGAGTGGACCTAAATAGTATATTCAGTAATAATACTTTGTTTCTTAGCATTTATAAGGAACCTTTGAATTCAGTGCAAGACTGAGCTGCTAATATTATCCCAGAAGCTGTCAATGTTTTCAGATGCTTGAACTCATAAGAATTCTTTTTGTAACCTTATCTGTTAATTTGCCTACTGGGTTAGGTTCATAGAATCTAGTAAACTAGTAAATACAGTTACCTAACAGGCTGTTGATTCTGATGTATTCTACACCAGCACATCTGGGGGAAAATTCCCTCCCAAGATGGCTTTGTTCAACTAATGGCCAGATCAGATTGTCATGCCTTTTGCATTAGTAAGGAAGTACCTATGAAAAAGTAATCTTCCATTTAACAGAGGAAAAAAAAAAAACTTAAAATGTCTGACTGCATAAAAACTTCTGAAATTAATTTATTTGTATAATAGGTAATACAGAAAAAATGTAAACCTCTTAGCAAGTTATACTATTATGCTATTTTTTTTTTTTTAAAGAATAAATGCAGAAACAGGGTTGCTTTTATAACCCGTGGTTGTCTCAGAGTCATCTAATTTGAAAGCAGTCCTGTTGTATAATCTGGTAAACTCTTATATTTTGCAGTTGCCTTTAGCGTGGCTTCCTTTAAGAAAGAAGAATTTTTAACTCCCAATTTCAGAGGTTGCTGCTGATGCTAGGCAAATTTAAAATAAAGCTACAGAATCACTGAAAAATATTGTGGTTTTATAACAGTGCAGAAAGTCTCATGATTCATTAGATGTGTACTTATCATAGATAGTTCTTTGACCTGTTTATTTTTCATGTGGACTTTTTTTTTTCTGTTGGAAAGTGATTGGGCAATGAACATGATTCTCTAGTTAAATGTGTGACTAGAAGAGATAAATGCTAAGTGTTGCTTTATTACGTTGCTGTGAGTAGGGAAAGTTGATTTTTTAAAAAACAATCCTTGAAGGTTAGCATATATTTTCCTTCCTGTTGCTGTCGTTCCTTGGTGAAGTAGGGGGTTTTCTAGTGGTATGTAGAAGTAGATTTTTCAGATGTTTTCATGTTCATCTTGGAAGTTCCAGTGTATTGTTCAAGATGGTCTAGCAAGGAATCAGATGTTCACGTACGCTGGGCAGAGCAGCAGAGCTGACGCTGTGCCAAGGAGCTTCTCTGCTATTGGCAAGGGTCTCCCCATGCTTGGCTCCTGTCAGCTGGATGTGGGCCAGTGCCCTCCAACAGCGGTGTGTTGCTTGAGGTCATTACTGCACAGAAGGGGTTAACTCTGGTTTATGGGCAACAGAACAAAATATTTAAGTACTCATTTGAGTAACCAGCGTGCAAACAGAAGAATTTTTTCAGTTCTTCCCTATGGAAGAATTATTACTCTTGTTTTCATTACATACTGAATTCAGCCTTATGCCACGTAGTTAAATTGTTGGATAGTGACTTTACCTAGTAGTTTAGGATGTAATCAAGGTGTTTCTACTCTAAACTGTTTGGAATACCTGGGCAGGCAAATGTAGCTGACTTCAAAATTGGATACAGTACTCAACTGAATGTGAATGTTATGAGATAACTATCAGTTGGTCATATCTTTGGTGTATAGCCTAAAAGATGGTCTTTCTGGTGGTGCTCTGCCTCTTGGTGTTGCATTGTATCATCTGGTTCATCCTCAATTTCAAATGTCTACTGAATATTTTAATGCCACATACATGTGACCTTAGAGGTCTTCCATGCAGTTACTGAACTGGTTTGTGCTCTAGGAAGTCAAGAAGCTTCAGAGGTAAGGTGGTTCAGATGAAACAAGGCGCTACTGCTGAGCATTTAGGATAAGAGGCTGGCTTTGGAACTGGTGAATCGTGCTAGTATTATTATGCTGCTTTCAGACTTCAGTGAAGCTTTGTCAAGAATAAGTGAGAATTACCTAGTTTTCTGTTTATCTTGTACTTCTGATGTGACCGCAGGTTGTTCTTTAGAATGTATGCAAGGTAACTTGAAATCTAGATGTTCAAAATCAATCTTAAGTGTCCACTAGCCTCAGCTGCAGAGGTAGAAGTCATTTACTCATGCCAGAGATTGAAAATGCAATATTATACTGAATATCTACAGCTATTACAGTTATGGCTCGATTTTTTTTTTTTTTTTTTTGAAATCTTCAAGGCCATATATCCAGCTAGGATATGCACATGTGTTGTTCTAGTTCAGGTGGGGTCTGTATAGTCACAAAATGTCTTGGGCTATTTTACAGCTGTTAGCTTCACTCTTGCCTTGACCCCTTGCTTCTGCTAGGAGTAAAATCTAACGTTGCTGTAATGTAGATGGCCTCTGTCAGGATGGATAGTGATTTATGCTGTTGTCCATAATGGGTTTTTGTTCATAACTCCCTGTATGTTCTCAGTCCTCTTCACCTGCCTGGAGATAAAATCTCTCACCAACTGAAAAGAATAACTTTTTATTGCTCAGAGGTGTACAGAATTCTTGGCAGTCACTTTGCCAGGTACAGTGGATACCATATCAGTGTATGGTAACTTAATTTTGTCTGCTTGGCTAAAATGCATTTAGCTTATGTTCCATTAAATACTCAACTATTGATGTGATAGTTCTAATCTATGCTGTTCCCTGGTTTTCTTTCCACTGACACTTACGGGTCTCGGTTTAACAGTTGCTTTGGAATTTCTAGTGCAAAATGTATACTAATTGTTTTGGTAAATGTTTAATACTTCAGTCTGCGTGAAGTAAACACGAATAAGGAACTTGCAATATAAACATGCTTAATCTTTGCAAGATGTTAGGAGTATGTAAACAAATGTAGTAGATGGTGTCTGTAGGTAATTGCATGGTGTCATAAACAGTAGTCTGACATAGCCGTTGCCTTTTCTCATCTGCAGGTGTGTGTTGTTTCAGCGCAGCATGGCTGTGGTCATCCGCTTGCAAGGTCTCCCGATTGTGGCGGGGACCATGGACATTCGCCACTTCTTCTCTGGATTGACCATTCCTGATGGGGGCGTGCATATTGTAGGGGGTGAACTGGGTGAGGCTTTCATCGTTTTTGCCACTGATGAAGATGCAAGGCTTGGTATGATGCGCACAGGTGGTACAATTAAAGGGTCTAAAGTAACACTATTACTAAGCAGTAAAACCGAAATGCAAAACATGATAGAACTCAGTCGTAGGCGTTTTGAAACTGCCAATCTAGATATGCCACCAGCAAATGCTAGCAGGTCAGGACCACCACCTAGTTCTGGAATGAGTGGAAGGGTTAACTTGCCCACTACTGTACCTAACTTTAATAACCCTTCTCCTAGTGTAGTAACAGCTTCAACTACTGTGCATGAGAGCAATAAAAACATATCCACATTTTCTACTGCCAGTATGGGGACTGCACCTCCAAATCTTGGGAGTACCTTTGGTAGCCCAACATTTAGCTCGACTATACCTAGTACAGCGTCCCCGATGAATACAGTACCTCCTCCACCAATCCCTCCTATT